TGATCTTAAAATGTAGCCTTGTGTTTTCAACAACTTAGATTTGAAAATAGTCAAAGCACATATGTTGGAATCTCTTAAAATAAAGTAACTTGATTTGGATTCACTTCATGCACTTTAAAGAAGCCTCAAATCTAAGTTAATGGTGGAGCAAGATAAAAGTGAATGAAAAATATGCTCGCTTTGTCACTACAACTCATTCATAGGCATTAAAAAAATGTAACCTTTAAATCTCAAAAAATCCTGAGTGCGATGCATTTAGCATAATGAGCAGAACCTATATGCGTATTTTTTAACATGATGGCAAAAACTCTTAGTCGGAATTAATGATGGAAAGGATAAGCCTCGAGTGCGTTTTTTTTTAGCACGATAGGGAAAATTCAAATATTCATACTTCTATGCATCTTTCTTGATGCAGTTAGAAAACATTGCAAATTCTAAGCACATACATTAAGACCCACTGCTTTTTTTTACGCGGTAGGATAGAAGACCCCCCTCCCCCCACCACTAATCACAGTGTCTTACAACATCGATCATACAAGTCTTTCTTAGTGTGATAAAAAGGCCCAGCACTCCCAAAGATGCCTAATTCAAGAAGAAGATATTGGGAGGCCGCCAAAATTCATGATAAAAAATTGACTTACACATAACTTTAAAATTGAGGGGTATTTTTCTGTCACACGATAGGCCCAATGCATTCCTCCACTTTAACCATCAAACTTGAATTCAACTAATAATATCCCCATCTATGTCACCATCATTTTGAATAATAAACTCGAGATATCTCAAACGTGTACTCTTTTTAATGACTTGATTGCCCAAAGTCACAATCCCTTCACTAAATATATTACTACTAAAATTGCACTCCATATATTTGATTTTAGATCTACTCAAATGAAAACCTTTAAACTCTAAGTTGAACTTCCATAATTCAAGTTTTCCTTCAACTCCATTTCTAGTCTTATCAACAAGAATAATATCATCAGCAAAAAGCATATACCAAGGTACATCTGCTTGCAAATATATAGTAAGAACATTCATAACTAAAGCAAAAAGACGTAGGCTTAAAGCTAATCCTTGTTATAATCCAACTGAAATAAGAAAATACATAGTCAAATCACCTTGTGTTTGAACAAGTAATAGCTCTTGCATACATATCCTTAATGACTTGAATATAAACAGTATTAACTCCTTTTTTTTAACACTTCAGAGCACTTCTCTTGAAACTTTATCATATGCTTTCCTTAAATCAATAAATATCATATGTAGATCCTCTTTATTCTCTCAATACTCTCCATCAAACCTCTCAATAAATGTATAGTTTACATAATAGACCTACCCGGCATGACTCTAAATTGATTTTGAGAAAAATTAGCATCACGTCGTAATCTATGCTTAATAACTCTCTCCCAAAGTTTTAATGTATGATACATTAACTTAATTCCTCTATAATGCAAACATTTTGTGCATCACCTTTATTCTTAAAAATATAAACTAACACACTCTTTTCCACTCATTTAACATCTTTTTAATCTTCAAAATAATATTAAAAAGTTAGGAAGTCAATAAATTCCTTCATCTTTTAAGCATTTCCATACTTCACTTTTTTAAAGTTTCTTTCACTTCGATTTTACTAATATGACAATAAAAACAAAAATCCATATTTTCATTTAAGGTGCTAAGATCACTAAAGTCAATCATATTATCACAATCTTTGTTGAAATATTTATCAAAATATCTCATCACCTATGTTGAATATCATCCTTAATATACTTGAACTAAATCCTTACTTTTTTTATCTCTTTATTTAGCTAACTTATACATACATCTTTAGCCCTTCTTAACATCTGATCTATTATATTAATCATTAAAAGCTAAATTTTTTCAATGTTTATTGCTTTCTTAAACTACTTATGGAATCCTTCATATCTTTCTCAATTTTCTAAATTTTCATATCTAAATTTATTTTTATAACAAAACTTCTTATTTTTCATCTTTTCTTGTATATTTTGAGTATACCATCAACTATTTTCACTATTACGTTTCTTTTTTATACTCCAAACACACACTTTGCAACATTTTAGAATACTAATTACTTTGTCCCACAAAAAATTAGATTCCTCATGCACAATCAAAATATTAAGATTTGAATCTTACTTCAATTTTTTTTATTAGTATTCTTTAAATGCCTCGATATAATCTTTGGATAACATTTTACTTTATTTTTCATATTTCACATATTCATCTTAAAGTCCAAAATAAATAAGTCATGTTGGTACATAAATTTTTATTTGAAATAACTTTATAATATTTGCAATTTAAATGATCTATTTTCATATAAGAAAATAATCAATCTGAATTTTATTATATTTATTTTTATAAGTGATAAGATGCTCCTCTTTTTTCTTAAATAAGGTATTAGCAATTACAAAATCATAAGCTAGAGCAAAATTTTAATATGGTCCTACCATATGAATACTTCTAAAATTTTTTACCACTCTATCAACATGTCCATTTAAATATCGTCCAATAAAAACTTTTTTTAATAGATATTCTTTATATTAATTATTGTATATCTCTAAAATTTTAATTTTAAACATATATCCAAACCTACTTGAGAAGCATAAAAATTTATAATATTAATGATCTTAGCATAAAAAACAATATTTAAAGTTATAATTTTATCTTCAATTTTATTAATTTTTACAATATTATCCTTCAAACTCTTATTTATAATCACACCTGCATCATTTATAATAAGACTCCTAACTGCATACTATAATTTAAATCTTAAACTATCAATCTCTTTAGTCTTCTCTCCAACCCAATTAATTTTTTGAATACATGGAACATTTATCTTCCTGTGAATCATATTATCTATAAATTCCATTAATTTGTCAAAAAAAGAACCAACATTCCAAATTTTCATCATAATTCTAGTATCATTAACTAATTTATTTTCCCACATTCATTCAAAATGTTGGAACACTTGCTTATTTATCACTGCACCTATGAGACAATGCAGCAGCACTTGCACACTTCTCAATGTATTCAGGCCATACAGTGCATTGCTTCTAGATAACACCCTAACATTAACATAATATATTAAAAAATTCATGTCATGATTATTCAAAAAATTTTACTTTGGTTGTTGACTACCTCCTATGAGACCCACTTGCATAAAATATTTGTTATACATATGGGAGTCCAACTCGTGAGCCTCACAAGCAAACATGCATACGTCATTAATGCATCATTTTCAATCTATCAAATGCTTGCTCTGGTACCTCCAAGGCATGTTACACTTTGGATTGCCGATAAACTCTACTTCATCCGCATTGGTGGCCTACACCAATTCCGATTAGGTTGGAGGTTCCATTGATAGGAAGTCTACAGCAGGTTATTGCCTATTCTTTGGCGATATACTCATTTCCCGGTGTGTTAAAAAGCAACCAACCGTTGCTCACTCTTCAACCAAAGTTGAATATCGAGCATTAGCCACCACTGCAACTGATATCATCTGGATCCGATTTCTTTTAAAGGAATTTAAATTTCCAACTTCCCGACCAACATCATTATATGTGATAATGTTTTCGCTATTACTCTTGCTTATAATCCTGTTTTTCATGCTCAGACTAAACGTCTAGAGGTAGATTATCATTTCATCAGAGATTGCATTAAAAATCATGCCATCACAATTCATCACATCAATTCCCATGATCAGATTGCATATATATTCACTAAAGTGCTTCCTAAGGCTCGATTCTCAATTCTTCGGAACAAGCTAACGGTCTCTCCAAACTCATTAGCTTGTGGGGGGCTATTAACTAACTCAAGCAAGCTGCACTAGTTGCAGATCACGTTTTATGGTGCTAGTCCCTCTACTATTGTCGCCACTTCCTCTTCTGCTGTTGTCCCTGCTTTCGGCTGATTAAATCCTCACCGGTCATCTTCAACTAACTCTTCTTCCCTTACCATAATAATGCATACATATACGATGCACTGGTCACTTGTAATGGTTAATGGGAAATACAATACAAATCACTATACCACTCTCTATTTTACTGTAATTACTATACAATTTTCAATACAGCTGCAGTTTTCAGGATGAACAAACAATAAGTTTCAAATAAGAAAATGATTTTGATAAAAATACAAAAGGAGTAAGTGATGTCATTTAACTAGGCACTTATTGAAAGCAAGTTAAAATCAAGATCAGAAATGTAGAGAATATTTCATAGGATAAAGTCATTATTTAATTTTATAACTCTATAGATGTCAACTATGATGTGGATGCGATTGGGTAAAATATCGCTAGTGTTATCATTGTGTCTTCTGCATGAGAACAAATCTTTAATGGAGAAGATGTGTTTTGATGCCCTTGAAACTCGCACTTGCTTGAGGTTGGTTAATTCATACCTTAGCTAAAAGATCTTCAATTCATGACTTCAGCTAAAGTGATCTTGGATGTCTATCCAAATTTTGCTCATTGTTCCTAGATAGAGGATGCTTGCAATAATTTCTTTTGAAATGGAATTCAAGATCCAAGAAATGGCATTGTCATTATTCTGGGTCCAAGAGGTGAATAAGCTTGAGTTAGCATCTTCTGATTTGGGAATGGATCCAGCAACAACTTCCTGATTTCATTATCGCCCAACACTCGCCATACAATATAGTTGGCCTGATTACAATTTCATGAAAACTAACTTTAATATCCATGATATTCCAAACTTCCTGAAGTAGTTTTATATAATGCTTCCACAAATTACTTAATTGTATCCAGTATTCTAAGCATTAGACGCAACTAAAAGAGTTAGCTTCAAAAGAGACAAAATAATAATAATAAAAAGGGATCCGCAATTTCCAATAGCAAAACGAATCCTAAACACAGTTGGGATAAAGCCAATGATGACGATGGATCCTAAAAACAATACCAAGCTCCGTGGAACCCTTTAAAGCCCCAAAACCCTCCACGGAGATAGAGAGAGAGAGAGAGAGTTCACCGTGGGAGAGAAATGGTCGAGCGTCTGATCAAACCAGTTCACTTGTTGGGTGAGGTAAGCCCTGGAGTCAGTCGGGAGACGGAACCGTTTGCCATTTGCAGTCAAGAGAGGGGAGAGAAGAGGCAGCAGCAGAAGAACGAACAGCGCGTTCATCTCTCCTCAAGCCAAAAGAAAAATGCTTCCCGAAGAATTTTTGATAGGAAAGTACGAAGACAGCAGGACTATCCCTCCAAGCGCTTTGGGGCGATCTATTTTAATGGAACAAATAAGGTATCGAACGAGGAAAGGCTGGTTGTTTTAAATCTTCCTTTTACTAATTCTATATTTTTAAATAATTTTTATTTTTCAATTATTATATTTTAAATTTTATTTGACTTTGTTAATGTTATAAATTTTGGTCAAAAAGATTCTCATCTAATTTTAATTATTACACTCCTAAAATATTCAGCTAAAGTGATTATTTTAAATCAATTTAAAATAATATGTTCTATCAAAATTTTAAGTTAAAAATATTAATAGTGACTTATCATATTATTATGTCTATTAATGTTTCATAATTATGAAAATAAAAAATTAAAAAAAAAAAAAGATTTTGACTATTGCAATTTCAATTCATAATTATATATTTATTGATCATTCTTCTATGAACACTTACAACTAATTCAGACAACCAACTTAAAATTTATTGAATAATTATGACATGAATTATTTAATATATTATATTAATACTCAATTAAATCTAATTAATTCTAAAAATTATATCTTCCATTGATGCCTCTATATCATTAACCTTTTTGATGTTAGTCGTTTATTAATCACTTGAGCTCGTGTTGGTTTTGTATAGATATATATATTTTTTTTTTGAAAAGAATCTGATCTAACATTTTTCATCTCTCCAAATTGTACCTTATACTATACAATTTTATCATAAAAAATGATTTTATTATTGTCTTCCTATTTTTGAGAGGTTAGATGATTCTTCGCTAGCATTCTAATTTTCTTAGATTGCCATAAGCGAAACACAAATAAATTTCTATATGTTCAACGTTAACTAAGAGAGAAGTAAGAAAAGAAATAATTGTAGCTTTTACATTCTTGAGTATTAAGGAAGTTATGTGGTTCCTTATAGGCATCTTTTTAAATTATAATAGTTGATTTAAATATGGTGGTTAACTTAGTCAATAAAAGACCACCTTTCCGTTTATACAACCTTTCTACATCTTTTGAATCAATTTGAAAGCTATTAATTTTTCAAAAATATAAAAATTGATGTAAATAATAGTATAGAATACTCTATTGCATATTAGATTGCAATTGTATATTTCGAAATATTATGAGGCAAGAGTAGTATGGGCTATGCTTCTTATTTCAAGCAATATCAATAACATGTAGATAAGGTGTATGATAAAAGAATGATTACATGCGCACTTCCAATTCTCATTTTCAATAACATCAATAAGGTAAAATTTACAAGATATGTCATACACTTTATACTCTTGTGCATAAATGTGAGTTGGTTCTAAAAATCATTATACCTATCTTTCATATATTTGAAACATACTTTGTATTTATTAGAAAGTTAGACTCATTTGCCAGTAGGAATCACTAAGTTGTGTGGAGCACTTAATCAATTGAATAGTTATGTTATAATTAATGGATAGAACAAACCAAAGTTTGCATAGATATACCCCAAGACTGTCTTAATATACCAGTAAAATACTCATTCGGGTTAGTTTTCAAAATATCATATCTAAAACTAAAATCTTTGTGCACCACTTTTTGGCATCACGTTCAATAAGTCAACAAATTAAGTAGATCAATAATGTGCATATAAAAATGATAGCTAGTGGTGTTCCTAATGGAGTATATATACCTTCTCTTAAACCAGCTCTACATCCATCAACCCCATCTTTCATGATGCTTTCTTATAACCTTCCTTCAAATGTCTTAAAAAAATATGATGTGTTTCCTATGGTAAGATCACCTCTAAAGCTCTCCCTATAATCAGGAATGTTATGTGAAATTCATGCCCATAATTCATTCAGCTTGAACTCAACCACGATAATGAAAATGGGATTAAACCATTCTTAGCATTAGTAGTAATTGCAGTAAGAGGGTGCATAAATAATTTCCTAGGGAAAACATATTATCTAAACCTAAGATTGGGCGATAAAGAGACCATCATGAAATTAAGGACCATAAACTTTAAAATAAGCTTTTAGAATGATACAAAGATTAACATTTAATTGTGTAAGAGTATGATGCATGGTTATTTTAATGGCTTCCATGAAATGGTACAAATGCATGAGTGACTATATATATCAAGATTAAGTGAATAATTGAAGAGAGTTATAAATTATGTAAAATAATTATAGAATAAATATATTTTGCTAGTTTAGATAAATGCAATTTATAGGGCATCAAAAATTATATAGAATATCTTTTGATGTATTAGGATGTGAGCGTTGAACACTAATATTATAATAATTATTATTGAATTGAATAAGATGTTTATTTAAGCATGCCTATTTATATGCAGTAAAGAAGAGTAATATATATAAATATCCTTGATGATTAAAGTTTATTAGAATAATAATTTTTTAATTCCTACTATAGATATTATACACATGTTCTAATATCTATATGATAATGAAAACTTTTAAGAAGTTAACATCACTCCATAAACTCATGTTGTTATTGTAATAAACATCAAAACTTTGCCTACTAAGAAGGAAGAACACAAAAGTGGACAAGACATTGTAAACATGTATGCAATTTATAAAAAAGAAGAAATAAAGAGTAAGTTAAGAGTGTTATGTTGAAGGTGATGATGATTGATTTGATAATCAATCTTAATATGCTTAATTATTTCATAAAAATTGAGTTGTGAATAATCTAAATAGAACTTTTGTTGAAAGAAAAATACACATCCCAGTAATCAACCACCATAATCAAATTATCTTAGTGGCAATGGAGGCTGTAGAAAATACACATCTTTTGTGGAATACTAAAATGCCAAACTATATTTCTCGTTCTTTTAACTAATGAAGAGTTTGATATAAATAAAAGAGTCTAAAAAGGAGTCCCCTTAAGATAACATATATAAAATATAAAAAATAATAAACTAATAAAATTAATAAGAGAAGAAATAACTTGATTAGTAGCGTAAATAACATAGGTAATATAATTGTTTAATTGTAAGATAATCCAAATTACCAACAAGAATATGATATTGAGTGGGGACAGTCAAAAGGTGCTCTATCTACCCATGAAATGACCTAAAAGTTCCAAAAAAAATTATTTCAAAATGAGAAGCTAATTCTAATTTTAAAATTGTAATACTTTAACATCATTACTTGCAATAATCATATCATCAACACATAAGAAAATTAGAATAAGTTTGTTGGATGTGAACCTAAGAAAACAAGTACTCATGGTCATTAGGATGTAAACAAAGTAATGTAAGCATAGTAGAGAGCTTTTTAAACCAAGATTGTGGTAGCTATTCAAGACTATATAATGAATTATTAAGTTTGTAAAGTTTTTTAGGGTTAGAAGAAATAATAAGATGGGCAAATCTATATAACTCTTCTTGAAGATCACCATTTTTAAAAGCATTTACTATATTCATCTTAGATATATGCCACTAAATGACTGATATAATAGGAATAAGAGTATGAATAAGGATTATTTTTTATAATAAGCACAAAAAAATATGTCACTAAATGACAGAATTATTCATTACAAATTGGTCATTTTTTATCGATGAACCTATTAATGATGGCTATTATAGTGAAAACTTAATTATTGGTAAAACCTTCATGGAAAAATAAATTTCACTGCTACTGGAATTTCTAATGATTAAATTATTGATGGATTTTAGAAAATAATTTGTTGAAGAATTATCCTTCAATAATCATTGCAGATTGTATCAATACATATGTCATCAGTAGTTACCAATAGTTTTATCGATGAAAAATTCATTAGTAGTAATATGGATGTGAATTATACTAGTATCATGCATTATTTACAAAATACAAATTTGAATTCTAATTTCACCACCACCTAAATAACTATTCCATCACCACCACAAGAGGACACCAATCAAGTTGGTTCCTTCTCCATAATGATCCCTTTGATACGACATCATTTTGGTATCAGAGCCAAGACTCTAAAGAATTCAAAGTTAAGGATCTTAAAGGCATATTTTGCTTGTAGTAGAAATAAATTTTTTTTCTTGTGGGTATAATTTTTTCAATATTGGAAAAGAAAAATCCGTGAATTGTTCAAAGGTGATAGTTTGGACATGGGTCTAATTATTATTTTATGGGAAATTAGTTACCAAGCTATCCCAAAGGATAGGTCTCCATGCCATATCAAAAGCTAAGCCAACACAAAGTAAAGCAACTTGAATTAACTAAATTCTTGATCACTTGAAATATCGAATACTAATATGATGTGGTGGTGAGTATTTCATGAGTTTTTTTAATTCATTAAAAAAATCATATCCCGTCATAAAAATTTTTAACTTCTACATTGAGTGACATGTGCCTTCAAGCTCCATGATCTTGACTTATTTAGAACATGGCTCTGATACCAAAATGATTTTGTATCAAGGGAATCTTTATGGTGAAGGCAACAACTTGATCGGTGTCCCTTTTGGGGTGATGATGGAATAGTTATTTGGGTGGTGGTGAGGCTAGAATTAAGATTTTTGGATAGATTTGAATCTAAAATTCTAAGCTCTAAGAAGATGGGTTTTCCTTGGAGAAAAATACTGAGAAACTCCAAATCAAAGGTTTGGAATGTTAGAAAACTAATATTGGTAATATTTTTATAGATTTTGGATTAGTCATTGAGAAGTTACAAATTTTTAATCTAGTTACTTATGGCAAGAAATTACCTCTCTTTATTGGAACTTCAGCTATGGTATACTAGGGTTCTTAGAGATTTGAGGTCATGAAAAGTTATGAGAGATGTGTGGGGATATTTAGGAGATTTTTGGAGAGTTTAGATATATTTGGGTTTATGGAATGCTAAGCTTGAGGCTAAGTAGAGGAGATGAAAATTGTGTTAGAAAATAGAAGGGAAAGTGATACGAAGAGATAACTAAGGACTCACCAAAGCCCTAGAGAATCATCCATCAAGCTCCACCAATGAGTAAAATATGCTCCAAAATTTTCCACATGAAATTTCCATTAGAAAAATATTACTTTTATTCAATGAATCAAAAGTATAAAGCAAGGTCCTATTTATAGACCTTTTCTAAGCCT